CGGCTTGGTTCATCTCGCTGGTTCGTCAGTGCCTGAATTTGTTGCTCATGCATCTCTCTCATAGTCTGCATGGCCATCTGCATCTCGAACCTAAAGCTTTCCTGTTGTTTGGCTATGGCATCTTCGAGCATCTTGGCCACTTGTTCCGCGCTTATCATCAGTGACTCACGGGGTTCCCCCTCACTGGACACTGTATTATCTGATGCGACTGCGGAGCAGGTATCCGACTCTTCACCTTTCGAAGGTACTCTTGTCCGAACCCTACCATAAGTTCCTCGTGCGATTGCTCCAGACTGCAGACGGGTTAGTGTTAGCCCTTATGTTTTGATGATGTTCTTACAACCACCATTATCGGTACTAATGGCTTATTGAATTGAGTGTAAATGTAGTAAAATCATTTATCAAGCATCGTTAGTGCCATTAACGGCAGGATGGATGGATATATATATGCTATACAACGAAGATTTAATCAAAGGAGGAGGAGGCCAAGAGATTGAAGACAACGTTATTTCAAGAACAAAAGTATTCATATAAAAGCTCAATGCTATTCAGCATATCCACAAACGCTCCAATATGGCGATCGTAAGTATTAGGGAGTAATTTCGCGACATTCGTGGTTGTTTGGCTCTCTATAAGTGCGATACGACAAGCTGCGTTAAAGAAGAGAAGGCGTTAAGGTGTGTCATCTACAGAGTTGCAAAGATATATGATCTTCACACCACATGCATACGTTTATCAAATGTGCCTGAACTAACCTCATGTAAATCATGAACTACATGATATAAATTATGCAAAGTTATATAATTTCAGTTTCCATGATCTTAATCTATTATATCATAGAAAAAATATTAATCGAAATGAACATAATTAAAAAATCTTACGAAATCCAAAGAATATGCGTTGGAATATAAAGTGAATTTTATATCTTGAAATTACTAATGGTACCTATTAATATGGGCACTTATTGTAAGCGTTTTTCACATAAACCACTTTATATTTTCATATAAGGGTATCAGAAATACGAACTCAACTTCCTTGCATAACCCACTTTCTGTTTTCCAATATCATAGAGAATATATAGAGAATTTGATATATAAGTTTATTTGACATTATCTAACATACTTCTCATTACAATAATCTATATGCAGCATACATATATAATCCCACAGATGATCAAATGGATTATTTTGCAAAAATTCAAGTTGGTTCAAAAATCTGATTTTCTTGGAAAATATCAGGAAATCGGATCGATCCGGCACCCGATCGGACGAATCCTTATTGACCTTCCTAGTATCTTCCAGATTGTCGATATCAGTCGACCGATAACGTCGACCGAATTTTCAATTTCTAACTCGATCGACCGTGATAACCAGATCGACCGCGAGGCATCTGCTTGTTTACCAAATTCTTTAGCTGGCCCGCGTCGACCAAATTTCGTCGGCTCGGTCGACCGGACGGTATTTCATCGGTCGAACCGATATTATGTCTTCGGATCAACCGATTTGAGTAGCCGCGATTTCTTAAACGGTCGTATTACAGCCTTGACTCAGTGCTATCACTTATTACTGTGATTGGAAACAGTCTGGGTCACAACCTGCAAAAGTAGATATCTTCCTTATATATAAGGTAAGATTGGGTTTTGTTTTATTGAATTATAAAATCTTTTATAAAAACCCCCAAAGCCTTGCTTCATCATTCCCTAAAGCCCATAACGTTTTGAAAGAGAACCAGAGACATATGTTCTTCCTGAGTAATTAATTTTATAAATTCAACATTGTA